TGCAGCATCTTACTACGTCTCACTGCGAGAGCGGCGGACATGAGATTACATATAAACACATACATGTATGTCTGATAGCGAGGATTAAAGAGGATTGGCGTCTGGTGGCAACCGGACGTACAGCCCTCAAGCCAAAAAATGGAAAGTCCTTGTGAACAAATGTCCCTCAGTGTGCGAAGAATCTCGGGACCCAATGACTGCCGCTGTTGAGAGTGCAGACCCGGGCAGTGGTAGTACGGTGTCTGCACATATCAAGATGGAGAAACAAATGGAAAGAGCAGAAGGTTGTTTCGGGATATTGTAACAATGACAGGAAAAGGTCAGGAATTAGCGGACTGCTTGAGGAAGAGGAAAGTCGACCTCGCATGCATCCAGGAAACAAAATGGAAAGGCAGCAGAGCAAAAGAGATATACCGTGGTTTTAAATTGTTATACCATTTAACAACAGCAAGGGAAAATGTGGTTGGAATTGTGCTGAGTGAGGAGATGAAGACAAAGGTTGATGGAAGTCAGAAGAGAGAATGATAGTCAGACTGGTACTGGACAGCGGGGTTGTAAATGTGATGTGTGCGTATTTACGTGAGAAAAGGGTATTGAAATATTGATGGGGCTGTTTGGGATAACCTGGATTGGGTAGAAAATGCCAGATGCGTGGAGAGAGAGTACATTGGTTCCCATCTTTAAAGGGAAAGGTGATGTACAACAGTGTGGGAACTACAGAGGAATAGCATTGATGAGTCACACCATGAAACTCTGGCAAAGGATCATAGAAAGGAGACTGAGGAAGCTGGTGGATATTGGCGAGAGTCAGTTTGGATGCAGACAGGGAAGGTCAACAATGGATGCAATCGTTGCACTGAGCGTATTGATGGAGAAGTTCAGAGAGAATAATCGGCACCTGCATGCGGTGTATATTGATCTAGAGAAAGCGTACGACAGGGTGCCTAGAGAGCTCATCTGGCGGTGTATGAGAAGAAGAGGTATTTTTGAGGTAAATGTCCGGCTGATCCAGGATATGTATGAAGGAGCGAAAATGCATGTGCAAAGCAGCTATGGAGTGCCTGAGAGCTTCAAATCAAAGGGGGAGTGAAGCAAGGTTCCGCCCTGAGCCCCTTCCTGTTTAGCCTGGTGCTGGACTCACGAGAGATATTCAGAGGGAGCCCCCCTGGTGTATGCTGTTGGCTGACGACATTGTGCTATGCAGTGAGAGCAGTGGTAGTGGAAGATGACTTGAAGATCTGGGTGCAAAAGATGGAGAGAATGGGTTGAGGATAAGTAGGACAAAGACGGAGTACATGGTGGAAATAATGCAGAAGGAGGATTGCAAATTGGAAGTGACCAGTTAATGAAGATGAGCAAGTTTAAGTACATGGGTGCAACAACATGTGCTGATGGATCACTAGAAGGAGAAAAGAGAACAAGAACAAGGGCTAGATGGCTGAAATGGTGAGAGATGACTGGTGTGGTGTGCGATAAGAGGGCTAAGTTTGGTTGAAGGGAAGAGTGTACAAGACGGCACCTTTGCATGGGGCCGAGTGCTGGGGCAAAAGAAAGAGGGAGAACCAATCGATGGAACTCAGAGAGATGAGGATGTTGCGATGGATGTTGGGTTTAACAAGGTAGGACAGGGTGAAAGATGAAGAAGTGAAAAGAAGACTCAAGGTTGTATAAATTACAGAGAAGATGAGAGAGAAAAGGCTGTTGTAGTTCGGTTATGTGGAGAGACAACAGGAAAATTATTTGGGTCAGAAGGTGCAAGTGATGCAATTGGGAAGGAAAGAAATCAAGAGGAAGGCAGAAGAAGAGGTGGGGGGGGGGGTTGGGGGGGGGTGATGTGGTGCAATCGGACACGGTGGCCCGAGGAGCGGAAAGAGAGGTGGTGCAGGACAGGGCAGCGTGGAGAAGGTTGGCAAGGACAGTGGACCTCACATGAGTGGGACACACGTGTAGTGGGTTCACGGAGAGTTGAGACGACTTGTAGAGGCAACGTGTTTATTACAACGATAACAATAGCAGTCTTACACAAAGGGGCAATGGCCCCTTTACCTACTGCCTGGGGAGGTACGGCCTCCAGGCTAGCGTGCCCTATCACTGGGGCTACGGGCTCTGAGTCTTCTGGCTAAGAGTCACCTAGGGGAGGCTACACTGACCCAACCCAGCCAAGGTACGGGTCCCGACCACTGGCCCACTCGGTTCCGGCCCTTACAAGGACGTCGGGCCCGAGGGTTCCCAGAGTCTTACCACTGGCCCACTGAGTCCCGGCCCTTACAAGGGCAGTGGGTCTAGGGGTCCCAGGGTCCTTGGCTAGCTGGTCTTCTGGCTTCGGTCTTTGGACTGGCCCCGGACCCGTCCAGAGGTCCGGCTTTTATACACCTCCCCAGGTGTGTCCATCCCTGGCCACGCCTCCCTTCCAGAGAGTTCTATTCCAGGGGGGGGGGGGGGGGGCGGGGGATCCTAGAACAACCCGCAGCCCCCCCCTACTTTGGGGCTGGGGAATGTAGCGACCCTCATGCCGGTCCAAGTTACTGCCCCTGGTGGGCCCTGTCTGCTACTGTAGCCCATTTACAGCGCTACACACACGTGGAAGAAGAAAAGTAAACGCTGGGGATAGTCACAGTGGTCTAATGCACGCGACTGGTTGTGATGCTACAGTCTAAATTATAGACTGCCAGTACAATCACCGAGGTTAAGAACCAAGCTACAGTCTACATTATAGACTGCCAGTACACTCACCGAGGTTAAGAACCAGGCTACAGTCTACATTATAGACTGCCAGTACAATTACCGAGGTTAAGAACCGAGCTACAGTCTACATTGTAGACTGCTAGTACGCTCACCGAGGTTGTCTACATTATAGACTGCCAGTACACTCACCCAGCTTAATAACCATTGCAACAGTCTACATTATAGACTGCCAGTACACTCACCAAACTGAATAACCAGGCTACAGTCTGCATTATAGACTTCCAGCACACTCACTCCGATTAAGAACCAGGCTTCAGTATTTTTTTAAATTCACTTTATTATTATTTTTTCTATCTACGTGACTTTACCGAAAGAACCAAAGAATATTAATTCTTGCAGTCACGAAAGTTGTAAGTCAAAATTTAAACTAGAGGGGCTTTGTAAGAGTTCCCTCTCGCGGAAGCATGACCAAGTCTTTTCAGGGTTGCAGCTTTACCAGCAAACGATGGTGCAGGCGATACGGTGCAGAGTGACGCACTTGCGCCGATAGAGAAACCTGCTGTTCGTGGGTGCGAATTGGCACGGTTTCATCAATCCCGACCCTGACGCCTGCTGTATATTTGTAGTCGCGTGGATTTTTCTTCCGGTTTTTTCCCTCCCCATTCAGGATCAACATGCGTTTAGAATATTTGGTTCCTAGAAATGTCCACATGATAAGCCACTTTATTGGGCTATCATTTGTAGCCAGGTCGCTTCTGAATAAAGAGCAATATAGCTCAGTGGGCCTTACCTGTTAAAATATATATAAAAAAACATAGTTAATAGTTTATAAAGTAAATGGGAATGATTCAAACTCTGTGTCGTTGAATGGGTCTGGGAGCTGGCGACCCTCTGGCTTCTCCCAGTACGTATGTATGTCTGTGTCTATGTTGAACTTCTTTCGCACCGTACGTAGTAAAGCGTGGTCGCAAGGGAATCTGCCCCTCACCCGCATGCCACTCTCATGCCGGAGCAGAACGCAAGCGACGCATGAGTGTCACGCCTCGTGACATTTGTTTAACCCACTGGATCTCCTCGTATGCTGCCAAATGGCATCGACACAAGAATACATCGTGTTAAAATCTATATATATATACACACGCACGTAAGTTTGTTGAAAATTTTTGGCTGAAATAACATATTTTTCAAATAAGTGTGGAGCTGATAACCACCCCCGACCCCCATTCCCTCCTCCCCACCTGCCATCCCCATAGATGACGTTCCATCATAACTACTTCTGAGGTCACTTCAGTCACGGGTTTCTGTCCACACACGGGGCAACACCGTTTACCTGCCATGCAAACATTGTTCGGCACGTGCAAAAGAGCTCCACCGCTCTTCGGATTCCTCCAATATAAATAAATAATATGCTTCTGTTTATCAAACTCAAAATGTTATATCCTCAGAGCTGGAATTTATTATAATGAAATATTAAACAACTAAGTTGAAAGTGGTTTTGTTGCTTTTGTGGTTATGTGTGTGTAGTCATTGCATGATGATTAGGCTGGAAAACCATCAACTCGCTACCCTTTAGAACCGGGACGGAGGGGGGGGCGGTCTATCCGTAATTGGACCCAGGATCTCAGTAGTGGCTAATCAGTGTCTCTGACCCCCGAACCACCCGGCCGCCTCACCATTCGCCCTGGTGGTGAGTAGAGGCACGGGCAATAAACAGGGGAATATAGGTGAGAACCCACCAACACCACCATCACTGGGATTGCCACCCCTGTGGTACAAATAAACAGGAACGTATCACGGGAAGAATATCTCACCAAAGCGAAAGAGGCGAGGATTGCATACAACTTACAACTGCGACTTTTCAGGTTGAATGCTTAAAACGCACAGATTTGCCCATCCACCTATCTTAAAAGAGATGATCCTACGAAAACCAGGACGGATGGCATACCTAACCACACCACCACTAATGTCATCACTACCACCGCCACAAAAGTTATCACTACCATCGCTGATGCCATCACTGCCACCACCACTAATACTATCAACACAATCACCACCAGTGCCACCACGACCACCACCAATGTCATCATTACCACCACTACCACCAACAATGTCATCACTACCACCACGACCACCACCTTTGTCATCACTACCACCACTACCACCATCAATGCCATCACTACCACCACCGATGCTATCACTGTCACCACCACCACCACCAATACCATGATCATCACAACCTCCACCGTCAACGCCACCACGACTACCACCAACGCCATCGCCGCTACTTTAACCGCCAGCACCACCGACACTGTTACCTCGTAAGCGTCCGGGATGTTGACCGTCTCCCCGTGCTCCGCCACGTAGCCGACGATGCCACTGCCCCAGGCCACCTGCACCTCGCTCGAGGTCTCCCCCCACCTGTCGCACGGAAGGAACGCGGAGCTGGCGCGCACATCGTAGAGCCTTGACACGAGGGTCCTCTTGCGCGGCGAGCCCTCCACCAGGAAGAGTGAGCAGCGCTCCGCCTCCACCATGATGCACACGTTGACGAGGATCTTGCGGCTCAGGTTGGCGAGGTCCAGCTCGTTGGAGATGTCTTTGACCATCTCAAGGAAGAACTCGCGCTCGTTGCTCTCCTTCAGGCGGAACTTGCAGTCGATGGCGGCGCTAGCGTACTGCGGCAAGCTCACGCGCGACTCCAGCAGGGCGCTCAGGATGTGCGCCGTGCTGGGCGGCAGGGAGCTTGCCTTGCGGAACAGCGCCCTGCGCCGCACGCTCGAGAGGGACTCTTGCTCGCGCGGGTTCGCCTGCTCGTCATATGTCCTGTGCGCCGTCATCGCTTTGGAGCGCGCGAAGCAGCGGCGCAGCTCTTTCTGCGACGCGCGCTTCTGCAGGGCGCCGTCCACCGTCACGGACAGCGCCCTGCTGAACTCCTCGGACGGAGTGGGAGTTGTCTCGCCGACCTGCGGAGGACGAGGCGCCGGTGCCCTGCTCGGGCTGCAGGGAGACTTGGGCAGGTGCGGGGCACGCGGCGATGGTCGTGGTGGCAGTGGTGGCGACTGCTGCTGCTGCTGCGCGGCCGCCTGGTTGTGCAGCTTGAGCCACTTCTTCACGGAGCTGCAGGTGCCCTTGCGCAGGAGGTAGTCCTCGAACACATCCGGGTGATTGTCAAGGAACGACTCGATAGCAGTGCAGTCCAGGCCGCTCATGATTGCATTCGGGTGCGATTGGGTTGAGTGAGGAGCGCGTGGGACTTGTTAAGTTACGAATCGGAGGTGGAAGAGCCAAAGCCGGGTGGGTAGTGGTGGTAATGATGATGGTGATGAAACTGTGAAGGCGTGGGAGCACAGTCGACCGGGTTTACGACTGTGGAACAGATGCGCGATTGGGGCAGAAGGAAGGAAGCGATGGCGAGATGCGGTGGCATCAATGTCACAGGCCACGGCGACCACCACTCGATTGTGATTTCGATTATTATTTTTGTTAATTGAGTCGTCAGCTTTTAAAGTGTCGAGAACAAGGCGACGGTGATACACGCGGTGCGTCCATCGCGGTCATCATGGAGACACCGCAGGAACAACGGTGGACACTCAGCTTCCTGTAATCGGTGCGCCTCATTGTCGTTCGCCTCCTCTTCCCGTCCAATACTCCATGGCCGCGCTGAAACAGACGAGAGGAACACCCACGTGGAGCTCGAATAGGACTCCGCTCCGTGGATTTGCGCGCGCGTCGCACAAAAGCCAAGCCTCGGATGAGGAGTGCGAATGAAGGTGGAGACTTCACTTCCCTCCCCCCTCACCCCCTCTGTTTAAATGCCAAAAGGACAGTGAGATTAACCATTCACTCGGACGAGCAGCGTCCCCGGGGGAATTGATTGACGGTCCTGGGTAAAATGGGTGCTGCTAGTGCGTAAAAATGGCACTGGTTGCCAAATCAATATTAATGTCCATAACTTACATTCGCCCGTGTATTTATTCAGCGTCTCAGTCATGCGTAACTATTGAATGAAAGCGTCGAGGACGGGGGGGGGGGGGGGTTCAGTGTTTATATAATACGCGTTCAGTTTGCTTGCGTACGGGTAAGAAGAATTATGAAAGCGCACGTTGCGTTACGCATAGTTACGCACCCGCGGTACTGCACGACGCAGATCAACGTTAACTTGACCGTTAAACCACGCGGGTTTACCCTTTGAGACTAAAGTGGTCACGTCGACGATTAAGCACAAAAATAAAATAAGGACAATAGGCGCAAGACATTGAAAGCGAACTGCTGAAATGAGAATAAAACCACGCCAGCGATCTACTCAGAGAGGCGTGACGAGTATACATACACACTGTGTATATATCTGGGCACGAGAGAGCACATTTTGAGAGCCAGCTAGCTGACACCACGTATCGTATTACATTACGCGGAGATAACTTTCCCCCACTGTTGAAACGAGGCGAGTGCGTGCGCGTTCGCACCAGCTCTTACCAGACAATACCCCCCCACACACACACGGAGCCCCCCCGCCTCCTTCAGAGTGGTCAGTTGGGGGGCTCTCTCCGTTCTTTCATCGCTGTCCTCGTTGCAGTGATTCGTCGTCGGGAGAGGAGACGAGAGCAGAGGTCGCCTGACCACGCGCGACTATTTACAGGGAGACTCGTCTGCACCGTGGCGAGCGAGCGGTGTGCATTGAGTGGTGCGGCGAGTGCAGTGGAGTGCCGCTGTTGTGGGGACGCGGAGGAGAGGGAGGGAGCGAGGGAGGGACGGAGGGAGCGAGGGAGGGACGGAGGGAGCGAGGGAGGGACGGAGGGAGCGAGGGAGGGACGGAGGGAGCGAGGGAGGGACGGAGGGAGCGAGGGAGGGACGGAGGGAGCGAGGGAGGGAGCGAGGGAGGTCCGATTAGCTTGGGGGGGGGAGCGCGGTGCTGGGATGGAGTTACAATTGTAATCAACGACTTCCACGACGATCTTTGTCAGAGTGCTTATTTATTAACTGTGGTACTGCACAGCTCTCCGGGTAGTTTCCCTTGCACAGCACCATAGACGAGCGTCTCTCTGTCTGGTCCACCAGCGAGGTTCGCTCCGCTCCCCTGGACTCGCCGTTGGCTGGCGGCACGCCGGAGAGAAGAGACGAGCCTCGCTGGGGAACCCCGCCACGTGGTCGATGGCGCAGAGAGGAGTTGACGGGCGGCGACGCAGCCCGGACCCAAGGCTCCCCACACCGACCACGAGTCCTCCCCTGCCTCTGCTTATATTCACCCTGGCGGAGCTAGGCTAGGCTCCGCCTCTAGCCACGCTCCCTCGAAGAACCTTCCCGATGGTTCCCGAAGCATCCTTCCCGACTCACCCCGGCACCTTTGGCCCAGATGTTATTCCCTCTAAGGATTGGATGCCGATTACATAATAGTGCCTGTACCCAGTTACCCTCTGGCACCTACTGGATGGCGCTCTCTCATTACACAATTACACACGCACGCACCAACGTCGCCCCGACGTGTGGGGTCATAGTCACTCTGGGTCTGATGATTCTGAATTGGATTAGATATTAACGGTGGTAATAATAGTAATGTGCCATATGTATATCGATCCAGGAACCGCTGCGCCGAGTTTCAAGATTCTTATGTTAAGCCCTGTTTCTGCAGAATTGTGATGCTTGGCAGTTCCTTTTTATTGTGTTTTGTTGTTATTATTAATGAGTGTTTGGCTTCACGTGCGGGTGAACGAAACCGGCGTACCTACACGCACGAGGGGTATAATCCACCCCAGCGCCGCAAAGATAGACTCAAGAATGCATTTGCTATGCTGCCATATCCTGGCTACCCCGCAAAATTAGCTTGTCAACGCGAACCTGCCCGTTATAACGCTGACCTCATCGATAATGTTGATGATGATGATTATGGTGGTGATGGTTATATGTTGAACCTCTTTCGCACCGTACATAGCCAAACCGTGCTAACCAGAGGTGCGGGGGAAGGACAACAAACAACAATGATGGAAAATACATTAATATACCACGTACATCTAATGGGCCAAGCCATCCTTCTTGGGTGGAGAAATCCCATGACCGGCCACGTTCCCACTCACTCGTCCACGCGAGCGCGACAACGATTCCGCATGTAGGGGGAGAAGGGAGAGCAGTGGGCCTTCAAGAAGCAGTGGGCACTGGAGGAGGCCGTGTGCTCGGTGGCAGACGACGGAGAGCTCTGCATGCAGATATACAGTGAGGGAAAAAAGGATTTGATCCCCTGCTGATTTTGTACGTTTGCCCACTGACAAAGAAATGATCAGTCTATAATTTTAATGGTAGGTTTATTTGAACAGTGAGAGACAGAATAACAACAAAAAAATCCAGAAAAACGCATGTGAAAAATGTTATAAATTGATTTGCATTTAATGAGGGAAATAAGTATTTGGCCCCCTCTCAATCAGAAAGATTTCTGGCTCCCAGGTGTCTTTTATACAGGTAACGAGCTGAGATTAGGAGCACACTCTTAAAGGGAGTGCTCCTAATCGACAGCTTGTTACCTGTATAAAAGACACCTGTCCACAGAAGCAATCAATCAATCAGATTCCACTCTCCTCCATGGCCAAGACCAAATGTTATAAATTGATTTGTTATAAATTGATTTGCATTTTAATGAGGGAAATAAGTATTTGACCCCTCTGCAAAACATGACTTAGTATTTGGTGGCAAAACCCTTGTTGGCAATCACAGAGGTCAGACGTTTCTTGTAATTGGCCACCAGGTTTGCACACATCTCAGGAGGGATTTTGTCCCACTCCTCTTTGCAGATATTCTCCAAGTCATTAAGGTTTCGAGGCTGACGTTTGGCAACTCGAACCTTCAGCTCCCTCCACATATTTTATATAGGATTAAGGTCTGGAGACTGGCTAGACCAATCCAGGACCTTAATGTGCTTCTTCTCGAGCCACTCCTTTGTTGCCTTGGCCGTGTGTTTTGGGTCATTGTCATGCTGGAATACCCATCCACGACCCATTTTCAATGCCCTGGCTGAATTAAGGAGGTTCTCACCCAATATTTGACGGTACATGGCCCCGTCCATCGTCCATTTGATGCGGTGAAGTTCTCCTGTCCCCTTAGCAGAAAAACACCCCCAAAGCATAATGTTTCCACCTCCATGTTTGATGGTGGGGATGGTGTTCTTGGGGTCATAGGCAGCATTTCTCCTCCTCCAAACACGGCGAGTTGAGTTGATGCCAAAGAGCTGCATTTTGGTCTCATCTGACCACAACACTTTCACCCAGTTGTCCTCTGAATCATTCAGATGTTCATTTGCAAACTTCAGACGGGCATGTATATGTGCTTTCTTGAGCAGGGGGACCTTGTGGGCGCTGCAGGATTTCAGTCCTTCACGGCGTAGTGTGTTACCAATTGTTTTCTTGGTGACTATGGTCCCAGCTGCCTTGAGATCATTGACAAGATCCTCCCGTGTAGTTCTGGACTGATTCCTCACCGTTGTCATGATCATTGCAACTCCACGAGGTGAGATCTTGCATGGAGCCCCAGGCCGAGGGAGATTGACAGTTCTTTTGTGTTTCTTCCATTTGCGAATAATTGCACCAAGTGTTGTCACCTTCTCACCAAGCTGCTTGGCGATGGTCTTGTAGCCCGTTCCAGCCTTGTGTAGGTCTTCAATCTTGTCCCTGACATCCTTGGAGAGCTCTTTGGTCTTGGCCATGGAGGAGAGTTTGGAATCTGATTGATTGATTGCTTCTGTGGACAGATGTCTTTTATACAGGTAACAAGCTGAGATTAGGAGCACTCCCTTTAAGAGTGTGCTCCTAATCTCAGCTCGTTACCTGTGTAAAAGACACCTGGGAGCCAGAAATCTTTCTGATTGAGAGGGGGTCAAATACTTATTTCCCTCATTAAAATGCAAATCAATTTATAACATTTTTGACATGCGTTTTTCTGGATTTTGTTGTTATTCTGTCTCTCACTGTTCAAATAAACCTGCCATTAAAATTGTAGACTGATAATTTCTTCGTCAGTGGGCAAACGTACAAAATCAGCAAGGGATCAAATACTTTTTTCCCTCACCGTCGGAGGCCGTTTGACTGTAGGAAGGGCTGCGTGCAGATGCAGCACTTGTCGTAAAAAAAATTGTTGGGTCTTTCATTTAAAAGGGGGGGGGGGGGGGTTACATAAAGCAAAGCATTGAAAAAAACGAAATGATGAACGAAGAAAAGTGCCGACTACACCGAGCATCTTCTTGTTTCCTCTGATCGTAAAAAAAGAATAAGAAAAAAAGAGAAGGGAGAGAAGTTTGTCAACCCAACCGGTGATGCTGATGCTCGCGTCGAGTAAGCTGAAAGTGCTCAGAAAGGAAGGTGATTCACGCTTGGGGCTTCCCCTGGTATTCCCGTTTCGTCTCGCATGCCACGCACCCACCCATGAAATTTTACTCAATTGCGCCCCCCCTCTCACCCACCCACCCCTCCCCCCAGGAAATAGGGGGGGGCAGCTGCCCCCACATTGCCACTTGTGGTCGGTACGTAAAGTATCTTACGTTATACATTTCCTTAGTTTGCAATATAAATAAGCAAACACACTTCAACTTGTAACACTGCGCCGCGGCGCAGTGTCTGCTCATCACTCTCGTAGAGACACAGAGAGAAGGGACAACTCAGAGAGAGAGAGACAGAGGAGTTGACTCGGAGAGAGAGAGGGGAGGGGGACGACTTGGAGAGAGAGACAGGGGGCGACTCAGAGGGAGAGAGAAGGAACGACTCGGAGAGCGAGAGGGGGGACGACCTGGAGAGAGAGAGAGAGAAGGGACGGCTCGAAGGCACGAGCAGGAGAAACCACAGAAACATCGTAGGTGCTGTGATGATTTCCTCCTAAGTGCGAGATTCCGCGCATGCACATCCCACGCCGGAGATGGAAATGCTGGGGATCAGCTCCACGTGTGTACGGGTGTCAGATGATCCCTGACGTCACAGGGCCGCGAGAGATGGTTATGGGATTGCAAAAAGGCCTGCCCTTTCTCGGCGGCGAGGTCATCAATGATCCCGGCAGCGTACCCCGGGCATGCTTTTTGCGTTAGCGAGCGCATGTCCTCGGCGTAGCTGCGGATGTCCTCGCCGGGCTGGCGGTGTAGCGCATTAATGCTACCCTTGCCTCCTCCCGGTCGCAAGCGCCGAAGCGTTGGCCGAGGTGGTGCATTAACTCTCCCCAATGCGCTGGTGCGCTAGTGGGTAGCGCTTCCACAAAGTCGGCTGCCCGCCCATCCAAATGAATATCTAGATGCTGCAGCGCTTGCGCGTCCGCGTAGCCATTCATCTTTTTCGCATACGTGAGGTTCCGGGCAAACGATTTCCATGACGGTATCCCTTGCCCGGTGAACACGTACCTTACTTTCACTTGGGGTGGGGTGCCTATCTCCCTTGGAGGCGTGTGGAGTCGTACCGCCTCTGACACCAATCTGTGGGGGCCGGGGTACACCCCACCGCCCTAGCCGGGCAGGTGGAGCGCGACGTCCGCCCCTTCCACTCCCTCCACCACTGCGTCAATCGGCCCCCGCCAGGCCCCCGCCGCCCGGGTGATCGACCCCCCATGTTAGCGCCCCCTCTGAGGGGCATCGCGAGATCGCTGGCTCACTGCCGCGCAGGGTTATTCCACACCCGCACACACACCAACGCTGATGGCGCAGTGGCGGCGAGCACGCGTGCGCCCCTGCCGGCAATCAG